CCATTTTGGTGAAGGGGCGGGGCTTCGGGAGGCAAGAAATGCTGTATTCGATGTATAAGATGCAATCAGATTTTCAGCCTTTTTGAGGAAAAAAGGTGCATCTTATACTCCAAAAATACGGTACCTTGAAGATCAACTAGTCTAACCCCCTGATTATGTTAACCATCTTTTTATATTATTCCTTAATGCTATCTTCACTGAATTAATTTCAACTCAAAACAAATGAGTTGCTGCAGCCTCAGCTTTTGTGACAGTAGTGAAAAAAATAACTTTACAACCAATCCTTGCAGTAACAAACTTCAAAGGTCTATACAGGTAGTTCTCAACTTGTAGCCACAACCGGGACCAGTATTAAGTAAATCCAACTTCCCCCCATTCACTTTGGCTTATCAGAAACTGGCTGGGAAGGTTGGTAAATGGGGGGGGGGGTCAAATGACCCCAGGACACTTCAAATGTTGTAAATACATGCCAGTTGTCAAGTGCCTCAGTTTTGATTATGTGATGGTGGGGATGCTATGATTGTTATAAGTGCAAGGACCAGTTATAGGTCATTTTTTTCAGTGCTGTTGTTAACTTTGAATGGTCACTGAAGAATGAAGTAAGATGATAACTATTTGTAAAGCAAAGGGAAGTTGAATTTAAGATTATAAGCACAACCACAGTTTTCACTTAGCAACTGCTTTACTTAGCAACTGAGTTGCTGGTTATATCTGTGGTCACTATATGAGGATTATTTTATTCAGTATCCTTTTGTTTCAAGCAAATCCTAACTGGTTTTTTAATGCTCTAAAATACATCATCTATCTGGGAAAAGAAAAAAAAAGTTTGCCTTAGTATGAACAAGGCAAATCAAGAGCAAGTTGCTTTGGAGATGATTGGTGTTATTATGAGCGCACATAACAAAAGCAAGAAAGCATGACCCTACTGAACCTTCGCTATGCTCTGTTAAATAACCCAGAAATCCAAATTAGCTCTAAGGTTGAGAGAAAACGCCTGCATTAAGATCACCAACAGAGTTTTGCATTTGAGAATGGGAATGTACTTCTCTTATGATTTCTATGGATTACACAGAATTTCTCAGCTATGTTTTCAAGTACCATCCAGGAAAGAAAAATAAACTACTTGGAAAACCCAACAGAAATCAGTACAAGTACGTCAGATGAAAGAGAACCTTCCTTTAATTTAGCCTGTGACCATTCCCTCTTGCGCATTTTGCTGCGATTTATAGAATTAAAGAAAGCAAGAGTGGGAAAGTCATCAAATCCAACACCTTGTCCGGTGCAAGAATCTCCACCAGATGGCTTTAAACACTTCTGGTGAAGGACAGACCGCCACTCCTAAAGCAACTTGCTCCTTTGTCGACCAGTTTTTACTTTAGGAATATTTCCCGATTTTCAGCAGTAGCTACCGCCTTGTAATTTAAAGCCATTGTTTCTTACCCTATCTTCTGCAACAACTCTGAACATTTCTGCACATGGCAGCACTTCAGATACTTGAAGACAAGCTATTATGTGACTAAACATACTCAACAACAGGCTAAACATACTCAACAACACTTCACAAATGTTTATTCTCAGGTCCTTAATCTTTGCTGCTCTCTTCTGGACCCATTCTTCTATGACTCCAGTTTGATAACTGCTTCTCTCCGTCCTGTTTCACATTTTTGTGTCTGTCTGCCAGGCCCTGCAAGCCACCTCCATAGAACAAGCAACTCCAGCATCCACTCCCACGATCAAGTAGCTTACGCATTAAGTTGCTGACAACATTAAACACTTATGTTGATCAGAGCCCGACATGTTTTAGAAAGAAATCTGTCATAGCATAATATCATTTCAGATTTTTCCCCCTTTTTCTACCAATTAGCCAAGAAGAAACTCAACTTGATTATCTTTTAGCTTCACTTAAACAATGAAGAGCCAAAAGAGGAGCAAGAAACTGTTGCCATGGGGATATAGCGCACCCACAGTACTGATGCAATGGGAGTGTCCTGTAAAGCTTGACAAAAATAATCTAAGGTCTTCTGTTCCTTATTCACACCAAGATAGATGTATTTTAAAGAAATATGTAATTGGCTTTAAGACATGCTAGAGATTATATACAACATAGACAGGTCAAAAAAAGTAATTAAGTTAATTCCCAGACAAGATGGTTTTGGAGAAAGCGAAAACCTATCCTGTATTTGATTAGCAATCTCAGCAAGATCCAAAGAAAAAGCTGGAGGGCCATTAATAGTTTATCAAGCAAGGTTTGTCTAAAAATAATCTCAATGAATCTAAAGTTAAGTAACACATTCAAGAGGCTAATTATTTATGTGCTTTTTTTCTTTTAAATTGAGGGATGATACTACAAAGAATCACAAATGAATATTTGTACCTTTAAGTACCTTGTTTTGGGAAACCTTTTAAAATCAAAACAGTTTTCAGTAGTAAAGGTACCATACCAAACATGTTTCAGGAATCATTTGGGAAAAATATTGAATCCTACCAAGAGTTAATCTCTAGGTAATCTGGATCCTTCTTAAGCCCCAACAAGGATGGTTAGGCGCTAATATTTGTTAATATTATTCTTAAAGATAGAAAGTTCTTACATTGATCCAAAGTCATGAAAATATTGTATCAAATATGTTTTTTGTTCCCTTACTTCAATGATGAGTCATGCTGGAAATGTACTGCAGAAATACCATTAAAACAAATAATAGTTAAAGATGATTTCATTTTTTTCTTTAATAATAACCTCAAACCAACTAATATGGAATATATGAAGATATATCAATGTATTTATATATTTCACAGTGTATTATCTGAATTTTTATGTACCAAATAACATTAAGTAATTAATATGGTATAGGTAGTCCTCACTTATCAACAGTAATTTGAATGGGGAACGACATTACTAAGCAGCCAGGTTTTAAGGTGCAACAACATGTAATTGTATTGAATTACAACAACCGTTCTGGAAATTGTTATTAGGCGAATCCTGCCAGTTCCAGTATCTTCCTGTCATGTGATAAAAAATTTGTGATCCTTTGCCAGCTTCCCTGTTGACTTTAGTTCTTGGAGTGGGTGAAGATTGCAAATGGTGATCATGACTGTGGGACACTGCAATATTGTAATTGAGAACCAGTTGACTGAATCACGATCATGTGACTACAGGAATCCTGTGATAGCTACAATTACAAGAACTTGTCTTAAGTACGCCTTGGATTTGGATTTGGATTTTATTAACATTTATAGGCNGAAGATTCTTTAAGTGCATTGAGTAAATTCCAGGGAGCAATCGCAAAGACAGAGTTCTGATCTTTCTGTCTTAGATGGAATTGAACCAGTTTTAGGTAAATGCTATTAGCCATGCATCAGCTGCTTCCTTTTGTCTTTTAAGGTAATGAAACAGAAGCCTTTTTTGCCTAGGTTTTTACTGAATCTATTTCATTTGGCTCTGGACCTGGACAAGTATTTTATATTGTGTTCCTTTTTAAAGGGAGGTTACCTGCGAAAGGCAAATTATGAATATGTAAGGCCAATAAATGTAAAGTACTATGCAAGAGCATTCATGGACTATCCTGATGCATGTACTGAAGTTGTCAATGTGAGCTGAGATTCTGAGTTTTAATAAGGATAAAGGTTTCTCCTGTCCAGTTGGATCCAACTGGGGGCAGTCCTCATTTCCATTTCTCGGATGAGAAAGCCAGTGTTACCCAAAGACATTTCTGTGGTCATTTTGTCAAATGATTATAACCCAAGACTCGTGGAACGCTGTTACCTTCCCACCAAAACGCCTTAAGAACGATATCATAATAAAGCAAAAGGATTCTTCTCTCTCCCCCCCCCCCCTTTTCCAATAACATATTAAACCGGGCCTTTTTTGACTCTTTTTTGACATCATTTATCTCATGATTTCTGTCGTGGGAAACCCTGCAAGAAAAGCTAGCTTAAACATCAAAAAATAACAGTAAGCCTAAAATATTATTCCATATTATATTTTCAGGGAGCAAATATATGAAATTGCTGCAGTCTTGAAAAGACACTCAAAAACTTGTTTTCTTTGTATCTAATTATTTCGTATGAGAAATCTAAAACAGTAAAGACTAAGATTAAATAATAGATTTTGAGATACAAGAATACTTCAGAATAGTATGCACTTGGGATCCTGATTAATTTATTTCACAAAATAAGAAACAAAATGACATGATTTTTAAACATTTGTGCCCTTCATCAGGTATAATTAAGCAAAATTATATTGAATAGTTGTTTCAGTGTTTAAAACAGGGTTCAGCATATTTGTATTATTATGCCAAGACAGTAAACAGCAAACTGTAACCAAGCAAGGTGATCAATATTTAATGTCTTTTTAAAATGTACATATTGGGTTTAGTTTAAACCATGAAGAAATTAAAGCTCACAGATTGTATGAACAATGGAAAAAAACATCTTTCTTTACATCGCTATTTTGAATTAGAAAGTTCAGGACATATTCTATATTGTTGATCAGCCCATTGCTCTCTATCCATCTGGGTTGAGAATAGCATATGTGAGCAGATACTAAACTGAATAAACAAAACTTTAGAATAGAATACATATTTCTCCCGCTATTTTGCTGGATATAATAGTTGCATCCCATCTGCAACTATTGAATATCATACTGCATTCACATTTGATATGAGAGGGATTCTCTCTAATGACCAGTCAATAGTTCTATTGTCTTTAAGAATCATTTCATATACCAACAAGTGTATTTTAGGTATTAGTTTCATATTAACAAGCACTAGTAACTTTAGATTTCCATGAGATGTATGACACATTTGTCAGTTTGATTAGGATTTGTCAATAGTCTAAAGAAACAAAAATCATTAATGAATTTAAAATTCAAGACTAACAAAAACAAACTTAAACGGCATTTAATTGACATCACAGCTTTGTAGCTATATACTCAAAAAATAGTTCTCTTTAATTTTTCCTTCATAAAATTAGCTCTTGTGCCTATGTACAAATGAATTTAACTGTAAGCCAGTCAGATTCGCAGACATTCCAAATCCTGGTTTATATTATTTCTCCCTTCAATGTTGGCAAACTTGAACTTTTCCAAGAATAAAGTCAGAACCAAAAGTGGCATTTTCACAGTTTTACATTGCAAGCTTTAACCTTCAGGACTGCAGGCTGTCAGCCATAATAGAGCGATGGCTCATCATCACTTATATCTGAATCATCTTCATCCACTTCACCTTCAATGACTGATTTTTTTCCTTTGCAGCATGACACAATTAATCCAATCAAGAAAACCTGTGAATTTACATCAACACACTGTATTACTGGAGGTTAGATGAAGGATGCAACAGATTTATATGCAAGACAATGTTGCCACAATGCACATACTATAAGTATAGTTATCCTAGAACATTAAATTGTATTTATAATCATCAAATAAGATTACTTACTCCAATAAAAGCCCAATTGCCAAAGTAATATACAGCACTGAAGAACCAAAATTTGTGTAGAAACAGATATGTCCGAGTAACGGTGCACTGATCTGGAGGGAAAAAAGAGAGAAGCAACTAAGAATTGCTCTTAAATATTAGGAAATGAGTTTAAAAGGATCATGATTCTTCCAGATATACACGGATTCTTTTTACAACTGAAATTACTGCCAATATACACACTTACAAAATATTGTTCATTTTTCAATCTGAACGGATGAGAAAGGATTCATAAACACAAATACACATGACAATTTGTCTGTTTCAGAAATCAAATTTATTATTCAATCTCTGAAATTTAATAAGGCACCTGGAGAAGATTTTTCTAATTGCCTGATCTCTTCAAGACATACATTGATTCGTGGGTCCCATTATTCGCAGAGCTGTTGTCTCATATAAATAATACAGGTTGCCTCCCAGTCATATAAACCCTCAAATACAAAAAGGGAGGCCAAAATATTGCAGACTGAGAATCCTTACTGAAATTCTGGCTAAAATGCATACAAAACATCTTTTGAGCAAAATAGAAGACAGAGAAATAGGGGGGGAAAAGCTTTTAGTGGACAAGCTAGATTCAGACTAAAGCACATCACGATAGATAATTATTTTATTTTACACCATATCATAACAAAACAGCTAATAGCAAGAAAATGTTTAACATTATAGATCTCAGTGTGGCTTTTGATTCTATAAAGAAAAATAATCTTGGAAAGAAACTGCTCATCTTAAATATGGGAACCCAGACTCTTATGCTTGGTTAAGGCCCTTTACTCAAACACCCATTTAGCAATAGCAATATAGCAATAGCAGTTAGACTTATATACCGCTTCATAGGGCTTTCAGCCCTAAGTGGTTTACAGAGTCAGCATATTGCCCCCAACAACAATCCGGGTCCTCATTTTACCCACCTCTGCATGGGTGTAAATAGTCTCTAAGTATATACTTACCCTTCATGATATCAGACAGGGAATGTATTTTAACCCCAGTGTTTTTTAACATCTATCTCAATTATGTTCCAGGATTCTGTATGCTTCACATGCTTTCATATGGCAAAGATCCATGATAAATATATTAATACCATTTCATATCCTGATGATATGGCACTCTGGAATAGGGTTATTTAGTGCACTGCTACTGCGCAAGACAGTTTGTCAAAATCTACATTAAACGTGTTTTTTCTCAAAATAGTATGTCTTGCCATTCTACAACTGAAATCTGTACATGCTAAATAAGCCTACTTGTTATTCTCAGAAGAGTATGTATGTATTTTGAATTTGAATTTTATTTCATTTATATGCCGCCCTTTTCCCCGAAGGGGACTCAGGGCAGCTCACAATCCAAGTCAAGGGAAGGGGTACAAATAAAGAATAAAAAAGACGAACAAAACAATACACAATTTAAAAGCACAAAAGTGTGTTAAGGAAAAAAAATAGACATTGTTGGCAAATTGCAGTAAGGCTTAGCTACATTCTACAAGCAAGGCCTTGTTCTTCTGCCATTTCATTTAGGAGGATAGTATCAGTAGAATCAACTGACTTCACTGACCCTACTTTCTTATTCCTCCAGAAGAATTTAGAATGTAGCTTATACATGCTAAGTGAGTAATAAAGACACAAATACACATTTGTTCTCAAACACACAGATCTACAGTACAAGTTTAATAGTTAAGATGCCATTTTATAATTTGCAATTCCCTCTACTGGGAACTGAACTTACAGACTACTGAACTTTAGATTACCATTTGCAGTGCATTAGCTTTAGGAGCTATCCAGGCCCTGGTGCTTAACAGTGTGGCAGGAAGAGATATACAGAATCTATCAGAATGGTGTGGGTGGGCGTACACAATTTGTGTGTGTGTGTGTGTGTGTGTGTATGTATGTGTATATATATATATATATATATATATA